AGGGTTTTAATAAGGGTTTAGGGTTTAGGGATGCTCAGGGGCGGGGTTAGGGCTCTAAGGGTTTAGGGTTTCAAGGGTTTCAAGGGCTTCAAGGGTTGTGAAGGGGTTTGGAAGGGTTTTAAGGGTTTTGAAGGGTTTTAAGGGTTTTAAGGGTTTTTGAGGGTTTAGGGTTTAAGGTTCAGGGACTTTGTGACTCTGAGTGCAAGGACACTGTCGGTAGTAATATGACCTACTTGAAGACAAGGAAGGAATGCTACAAGTAACAAGCAAAACTATTGGTGATCATGATCAAGCTAATCGGCTCTAAACCCACCCTCCAACAAAATATCGAAGCTTAGGGCAAAGAGTCGGAGACCCCCGAACCCAACAAGCCCTAAGCGCCCGTGACCCCAAGCCTTGAAAAGCTTAATGAACCCCATGCAAAATCCCGAAGCGCCAAGGCCCCAAAGCTACAAACTGCTGAGCACCCCAAGCTCTGAAACCCTAAAGCCCTCAACCCTGAACCCTAAAGCCCGAACTCGACTTCTAGGCAGCCGGCGACGACTTCGATTTTGGAGACGTTCCAAGCGGATCAAAGCCTCCAAAGTCGGCACCAGCTCAGGTCTGGCTGTAAAGTTAGTAAAGGGTTTAGGGTTTAGGGTTTAGCCCAAAGCCCAAAGCCCTAAACCCTAAACCCTAAACCCTAAAACCCTAAACCCTAAAGGTCCTTCTTAAGGACACTCACCTGCAGGCCTGTGAGAATTCCGGTGGTGGTGTGAAGGGCCAGGGTGCGTCTATGGTAGGTTCATTCATTTCTTTTGCTGCCGCTGTTGCCGCCGCTCCGACGGTTGATCCTTACTGAACTGACCGTTTCTTTACTGTTTAGGGTTTAGGGTTTAGGTTTTAGGGTTTAGGGTTGATGGTGGTAGCTGGCCACATTCATCAAGCCACTGCTACGTCGTGGAAGTTTCAGAATTCAGGGGATCCAAACATAGACCCCAAATCCCCAAAGCTCTGGGATGCCTAACCCAAGGATGCCGGATACTAAGGCAGGCCCCGCCACAAATATGGAAGCCTAAAGAGTAAATACTAGTCATAACGGCATAGGGCTCCTGATCAATATATATATATATATATATATATATTTGTATTTATATATATTTATATGTGTGCATTGTTGTTTGTCTACTGGTGTGCTCATGTTCATAGAGTTATCGTACAGTATAGCCCAACACCCTCTTCGCTGAGAATTACCCAAAGCTACCGGAAGAGGGATCCCGCGAAGCCGCAGCGCTCGTGCAGGCCGTCACCAGCCGAACAGGCCCCTGCGGGGTTAACATAGATGCCTAAAAATAATATACATACTTATCTACTTGTATCTATCTATCTATCTACCTATCTATGTATGTATCTGTCCGTATGTCTACGTATCTATCTATTTATCTATCTGTCTTATCTATCCTATCCTATCTCTTTCCATCCGATCTATCTATATATCTATCTATCTATCTATCCATCTATCCATCTATCCATCTGTCCATCTATATACATACATTTTTATCTATATGCACATACATATACTTATATAGAGTACTACAGAGAGGCAGGCCTAAAGAATAAGCGTTGATATTCCCGGAAAGCCCCTGGATATGTTTAGCATTAATCAACCCCGAAACCCTGTTCTAATTCTTACGACCCCCCAAAGTACTGGCACCCTCTTGCATCGCCAAGCTTGTAGGGTTTATATAGTTCGGAGTTACAGTCAAGTTGGCAATTGGCCATTTGGGAGAGCGGGGGTAGGACTTGCCAATGCAGAATCTGAGCTCCGGGCAACCGGGGCTGGATGTCAGACATGCTCGACTGCAGGTGCATCGGAGGATGACGATGACAATGATTACTTTGACGATGACGATGACGAGGAGGAAGCAGCCGGGGCTTCGCTGCTCAAGAGTTTCGTGTTGAGTAAGTGCTGCGCATTGCTCTTCGTACCTGAAGGCCTTACCAAGTAAGCCACGCAGTCACAGTCGCTGTTGCAAAGCTGTTGAGAATTCCCTCTGCATGGGATGGTAGACAGACAGAGATGCAGAAATTGTGCAGTATCAGCGGGACGAGCCCGACATGGGAAGCGCCGCTTGAAGTGAAGTATCCGAGACCTTCGGGACGGCTTCAGAGTTTCGGCGGTTTGGGGCGTGGGTTGAAGCTCCCACAATAGACCCGTTTCTAATCGGGTCTAAAACATGGTCCTTGCTTGTAAGCAGTTGAGCGTGATCCTTCCCTGATGTTCATGACCTCCATAAATGGGGCCATAGCTCAACATGACCTTGAATCAAAGGTCGGGGCCTCAGCCCCAAACCTTTGTTACGTGCGATGAGGGCACAACTGATGGCGGAGCAGAGGAGGGGAGGTTCTGAGTGAGTACCTGAGTGTAAACAGGGTTGTCGGCACACTGCCTTCCACAAATTGCGGATTTTGGAGGAAACAAGGCGTTCAAAAAAGAAAACGAAAGCCTGCCCACTAGAACCCATCCCCCTGGCCTCCAAGCCTAAACGGGCCTAAACCCTACACCTACAAAGAGTGGCCAAAGCCCAAAAAAGAACCGGGTTCAGTGTCAGGGCTTAACATAGAAGCCGGAATCGTTCCCAATATTCTTCACTTAGGCTTCCTTCGCGTATTCATAGAATATGCCCCCAAACCCGATTCTGAGTACTCATGCCCCTGAACCCTGTCCTGATAGTAACCCTTATAGAACCCTTGACAGTACAGACTCTAAACCCCAAACCCTAAGTCTTAACCCTAAACCCTAAACCCTAAACCCTAACCCTAAACCCTTTTTGGGAACCTGAAGCCCTGAGCCCTTCTTAACAGCATAGAGGAATAGTTGAATAGCATTTGTTTAAGAACCTTAACCTTAAACCCTAAACCCACACCCTAAACCCCAAAATAGCAGTAAACCCTAAACCCCAAAACCCTAAACCCCTAAACCCCTAACCCCTAACCCCAAACCCCCAAAAAGCAGTAAACCCTAATTAAAAACACCAAAGCCCTAAACCGTAAACCCTAAACCCTAAACCCCTAAACCCTAAACCTTAAGTCCTGAACCCGAGGTTGCCCCATTTGTGAGCTTCGCCCTCCTCGCTCTTGGGCTCCTTGGGCTGCGCTTTTCTTCGGTTTCAACTCGGGGTTTCCGAAAATAGGGGTTTAGGGGTTTAGGGTTTAGGAGAAACTCTGGTCTTTAGGCTTTTTTAATGTGGGGGTTTCCGAACATAGGGGACCCGAATATAGTACCCTAAATAGTAGGATCCCTATTATAAGGACCCCAAAATCAGGTACCCCTTATTTTCGGAAACTCCCATATAGTACCCTAATAGTAGGATCCATATTATAAGGACCCCCAATAAGGTGCCCCTTATTTTCGGAAACTCCCAACTCGGGAAAAGGCGTACAGATCTTTCGGCTTAGGGCCTAGGGTGTGAGGTTTTAGGGCTTGGGATGATGGGTTTCGCTTTAAGTGGTTTAGGGTTTCGGGCTTTAGGGCGTCAGGCTTGGGAGCTATTTTTTAGGATTTCGAGTCTGGGTTTCATGATTTTGGGAGTACAGGGATGCTAGTTGTGACAACGATAACATCTAGAAATAAGAAGCACGCACACACACGCATGTGATGCGAATTGGAGTACGACAGCGATAGTCAGAAGAGTGATTGTTGCTGCTGCTGCTGCTGCTGCTGCTACAACAAC